GGGTTTAAACTAAAGAGCATTGATTCATAATTTAGAGCTTGGCTTACATCAGCTTTTTAAGCTATCAAAATTCAGGTAAAAGGAATCAGATTGAAAATAACATTTGAAACAATAACGAACTGTAGCGGGATACTATAGTGACAATAGGCTTACTTTAAGCGCCACCGATAGGCAGCCAAACCAAGCTCTTGCCAAAATCATAAAATCTCTTTTACTGTTGAACAGTAAATTTTACAAACTTTAGAACTGTGGCGAACGGCATACAACTATGTTCGTTAAGCTTATCGATGAGCCGATAATTGGTCATGAATCACAGGTTATCGAGTAAACATAACGAAACAGACTAAAGACATCGATAGCCAGCCTTTTTGATAGACTGTTTAGTCTTCCATAGGTACTTTTATACCCATTTTAGCCTATTACGGCAGCGTGTTACGCTGCTACAGCTGTTGTGCAGTTGGCGACTTTCTCCGAATCACTGAAAATCTTCATAAAATAGTTAATAGAAGTTATTTACTTTGCTGGATGATATCACATCTTGGCTAAGTCGTCTTTGAGCAGGTTGTGTCACTTTTATTACAAAAAGACGATTGAATCTCCTCATGCATACCAGAATCTTATGGCAATACATGGTATCAAACAAACATTGTAAAGTTCTGCATCCCACATAATATACACTACCTGCGTGCGAAGAAAATTAGGAAAAACGCCAAATTGCATGTTTTTCGTTATCGTGAAATTACCTGAGGCTAAACCTAAACTAACAATAGTTCCTGTTGATTTAATGAAAATCCAACACGCTTCTTCTTCACGATGTAAGGAAGGTTGGTAGTTTCGTACCCTTTAACCCTCGGTAAAGTGTCTACGTACAGCATGAGCCGTTAATGGGTGGCGGCCGTGAGTGCGGTGCAAAGTTCGTATTGCTGAGCTTTCGAATTGATGGTCATTGCATAAATGCCGCCTTAGTATTTATTTTGATGATTAGTCTTGGAGTGGCAACGCTCTGTGAAGACCTATTCGAAAATTTTAAAAATCCGCGTACGCCAATACATACTAAGTTTTTACGTTTACAATTTGCAGAAACGCGACTTTATGTCACAATCGGATAGCTTGGACGATGGATCGGTCGATTCGCATATAGATGAAAAAAACAGCAAGCTGCGTCATACCACGAATTACAGATGCTTAGAATGGTGAAATTGTGAGCGCATAAAGCCGTTGGGTTTGCCCTTCGGCACGTTTGGTTCAAGGTAGTTTGTATGTACTACAATGTAGCCTGTTAAGCATTCTTTGCCGAATGGTGTATGCATTAAATTGTGTCCTCCATTCTAGGAAAGAATATATGGCAACATGTATGTTAGACATATGACTAATTATACACAGTATGACATGGATTTATTCTCACTATTTAATTGTATATCGACTTATTAACAATTTAGTAGAACGTGTATGATGAATAATATCTAATGGCATTTGCAATGCAACCTGAACTCAGGCGTTACTGCCCGCTAAACCTAAGCATATCATTTAGCGGAGGAAAAGAAACTAACAAGGATTCCCTTAGTAACGGCGAGTGAACGGGGAGAAGCTCAGCGCTGAATCTCTCGGTGTTATGCCGTTGAGAAGCGTAGCGTATAAGTGTGGCTTTCAGTTTGTGCTGCATGTTCAAACCCTTGATAGGGGCCACATCCCCAAGAGGGTGCAAGACCTGTGCGAACAGTGGGAGCAAGCTGATGGTCATATCTTGGAGTGGGGTTGCTTGAAAGTGTAGCCTAAGGTGGGTGATGAACTTTACCTAAGGCTAAATATAGACGCGAATTCGATACAAACAAGTACTGTGAAGGAAAGTTGCAAAGAACCTTGAAGAGAGAGTTGAAGAGAACGTGAAATCGTTGGATTGGAACCGGAGAGAGTTGACGTAGGGGTAACTAAGTTTGCCATAATCCTAATTGTGGTAGCGACGGATGTACGTTGCCTATGACTGCGCTGACAGCACCGACTGCACGTTCTAAATCGTTTGTTTTGCCCGCCTCGGTAGTGTCTTGCTTGCGGCTAGGTTTGTCATTACTATTGTTTTATCCTGTTATACAGGGTGTCAATGCGAAACTCTTAAAACACGGACCGAGAAGTATATGTCGCAAGTCAAAGGGTGGAAAACCCCATGTCGAAATGAAAGTAAAGGTCGGTTAATCGGCTGGCATGGAGCCGTATATCGAAACGGTTCACCATGGCTCTGTCTCGTCTACTTGCAGATGGGCAGCGGTAGAGCGTACAGGTTGCGACCCGAAAAATGGTGAACTATGCCTGAGCAAGACGAAGTCAGAGGAAACTCTGATGAAAGTTCGTACGATTCTGACGTGCATATTGATCGATAGAGTTGGGTTTATAAGCGAAAGACTAATCGAACAATCTAGTAGCTGGTATCCTCCAAAGTTCCCCCATGATAGCTGGGGTTCATTGGTTCGGTTGCGGTTATACCCAATAAAGCGAATGATTAAAGGACAAGGGGTCGAAACGTCCTCAACCTTTTCTCAAACTTTTAATGAGTATGTTTTCTCGACTTCTTTGTTAAACTGTTGAAACGAACGTGAGTTCCAAGTGGGCCATCTTCAGTAAGCAGAACTGGGGATGTGGGATGACCACATTGGGTTAAGGTGCCTAACTTCTCGCTCATGAGCCCTTAAAAGGCGTTGGTTGAGACAGAAGCAGGACGGTGGCCATAGAAGCCGGTACCCGCTAAGGAGTGTGTAACAACTCAGCAGAATCAACTAACCTGAAAATGGATGGCGCTTGAGCGAGAGGCCTATACACGGCTACTGCTGGCTTGTCGTTGTCTAACGCCTTGCAACGATTAGGAGGATCGTGGCGGTTGCGTCGAAGGCTTCGGGCGTAGATCCAGCCAGAGCTTCCGTTTGGGCAGATATAGGTGGTAGTGGCAAATAATTTAGTTCAATTTTTGGAAACTGAAGTGGAGAAGGATTCCACGTAAGTGGTTAGATGTGGGTCAGTCGATCCTATGTTACTGGCTCACACTTATATCATAAAGAGGGGAAAGTTTTTTTTCTCCCAGATATCAAAAGAGAATAGC